TTACAACCATAATACTCCATTGCCACAACTTTTTATTGCAACAATATGCCATTGATATGACATTCTACCACCATGGCATGCTGTAACCATACTACTCCACTGCCACAACATTCCATTTCCATGGCATTCCATTGCCATGACATTCTGTTGCTGTTCACAACATTCTATTCCGTTGCCACAATGTTCTATTGCCAGGATATTATATTGCCATGACATTCCATGGTCAGGATATCCTGTTGCTATCGCATTCTATTTCAAATGCCACACCAGCAGTTATTTTGTGGTCATTGTCCTCTTCGTGGTATGTCACTAATTTCCCATGCTGAATTTTCATCAGAGATGCCCACAGAATGGAAACATAGGGAGATTCCAGCCATAAAATGAGATTGTTTTAGGCTGCGTGCCGTGAAAGCCTGAGGTACTATGTAGCTGGAATCACAAGTTGCCTATTAGAAGGGCTGGCATTCAGAGCAGGTCAGAGGCTGCTGTGTGGCTCTCTCCACCTTGGGTCATCCTCGGGGAATGGGGATGGGGCATCTGTGTTTCAGACATAGTCTGACTGAGCCTCTGTGACTTCACTGAGGAATCCCAGGGTCATGCTGATGGACTTTCCTGTCTGATCTTGCCTCCCATGTACCACAGGATCGATAAACAAATAAGCAGGTTTCGAGGATGGTTACCTAGAAAGCCTATGAGACTGGACAAGGAGACACTGCCAGACCTGGAGGAAAATGACTGCTACACTGCCCCTTTCAGTCAGCAAAGGATCCATCAGTGAGTGTTTCTGGTTAAAAGCATGTCCACAAGCATGGGCAGAGCTTTCCCCTCCCCTAGAGCTTGGTGGGGTGGGAGAGGGGGCAAGAAGGAGACTAGCTCAATTTTTTATTTTTATTAAAAACATTTTAGAGATTGACTCTTCCTCATCCAGGCTGGAAGTGCAACAACCAATTAGGAACTTGATGCCAGCACTGGCCAGTCTGGGAGCCTTGACTTACTGTCTTTCTGACGGAGGACTATTCACCCCTTCTTGGTCAGTCTGGTGGCCTCCTGCTCTTAGAGGCTCGCCATATTAGGGTGGGACTTAGTGTGGACACCCAGTAAGCTTAACCTACTGCTGCTTAGAACTCTCAAGCTCAAGTGACCCACCAGCCTTAACCTCCTTCTCAGTTATCAGGGACTACGGGTATTCACCACCACACCTGGGAGGCTAGCTTTCAGTTAGCTGGAACCACTATGCATTGAATCTTTCACTTTCCTGAATTCAGAGAGAATGGTTCTAGCAGAATCCTGAGGCAATGTGGCCCCGTCAGAGGCGCATGTTCTGGAGTCAGACAACTTGGGTTCAAATTCTACCAGTGTGACTTGGGGCGAGTCACTAAAACTTAGAAGTTTCTTCCAGAGTGAAATGAGGTGGTTTGACTAGACGGCCTTTGAAGTACCATCTCACTCTAGATCTGTGTTCCTCAACTGATTGTTCTCTCTGAACCCCAGTTCCCTTATCACCCAGGTGACTTGGGCAAGTCATTGACCTCTCTGGGCCTCAGTTTCCTCATCTGTAAAATGAGGGTGTTGGTTAAACTTTTGATTTTAGAAGATCTGCAAGCTTGTATATCAGTGCCATAGGTTACCTTTGTAATCCTATATATGTTATTTTATATGTTTAAAACCACGAGAAGGGGTCTCCAGGCTTCACCAGACACTGCCAAGGGGAGCCACAACACAAAACAGGTTAAGAACCCCTCATCTAGATCTACGATCTTAAATTGATTCTTCTTTCTGAGCCTCGGTTTTCTCATCTGTAAAATTAAGGGGTTGGCTTCAGTGGCCTCCAAGGTCTTTTCCAGTTCCGGATATAAGATCCTAAGTTGCTTCCTCTCTCTGGGTCACTATTTCCTCCTCAGGAAAAATAAGAGGATTAGTGTAGACAGCCTCTGACATTCTGTGTCGGTCCAGGTCTATGATCCTGAATGATAATGCCTTCAATTTCCCTCTCTGTAAAATAAGGGCTTAGCCCCTGAAGTCATTCCCCCCCCCACCACACACACACACACACACACACACACACACACACACACTCTCAGCACTCCTGATAAGATCCTGTAGTCCAGTGGCCAGTCCATTTTCTTCATCAGCCTGCTGTTTGCGTCCTTCCTCCGTCTGGTTCCTGTCTGCCTCATGGCCTATTTCCTAACCCTCCCTTACACACAGACAACTTGCCTTCAGTGATGGAGCCCACAAGCTCTCCCTAGAACTCAGCATTCCCTCTCCTGTCTCTTACCTCTCACCCTAGCTGCTCCCCATTCCTGGGATGCTCTAACTCCTCAGTTGGGCTTTTGGAACCCTTGTCTTCCTTCAAGGCTCAGCTCAGTGGTTGTGGTGCTACCTCTTATGTGAAGCGTTCCCTGATCCCTGAGAACCCAGTGATTGCTCCTCTCTTGAAGTATCCCCCTTGTATTGTCTTGGATAATAGCTCTCTCCCTCCCTGCCCCAGCAGAAAGCAGACTCCTAGAAGGAAGACAATCTTTATCTCTTGGGTGTAGCACAATACTTGCACATAGTAGGTGCCTAATAAATGTTGTGAGTCAAGCCCTGTGGTAGTTACTGGGTGAGAACCAATTTAGATAACAGAGGATAGAGGCAAACAGAACAAATGAATGGGCCTACCAAAGCATGGCCGGAAAGAATTGCATTGCTGAGGGACCACCCCTGGCCCATCTGTCAGCCTGGGCCTGAGCAAAATGTAGCCATTGGTATGTTGTAAGGTAAAGTGGTGCTACTTGGGCATAGCGGACAGAGCTCTACACTTAGACTTGGATTCAAATCCTGTCTCAGACTCTTACAAGCTTCTCTTCATCTCCCTTGGCTCAGTTTCCTCATCTGTAAAATGAAGGGATTCAACTCGATGGCTCAGAGGTCCTTTCTGAATTCTAAATCTATGATCTTATAACTAAGACTAGGAAGAACGGGAGAAAAAAGCTTCTGAGATAATAAGATGCTTCAGGGGCATGGCAGGGCGAGTAGCATGAATGGAAAGCCACCAGAGAAAAATCTTTTCTCTGGACTAAATCCAGGGTGCCCTATGCACACCCTTGGGCACAGCCTCCCTCTTTGCTGAAGCCCCGAGACACCCTGATACTTTTTCTCCAGAGGTAAAGATGGTACCAGGAGCAGTGATTGACTGGAGGAGCCAATAGGCTACAAATGACTTGGGGATGAATAATTCAGGATCATTGACCTCATGGGGAATGTTTGGGAATAGAAAGTCAGACATGGGGGAAGATGGCATGGGGATAAACAGGGAGGAGAAAGTCAGAGAACAGACCGTGTGCGTCACAATGTGAGAAGGGAAGGGAAGGGAGGCAGCTCCTGAAAATCCTGCACTCAGGGTTCTGTGGGCTGGGAGGGGAATGACTCCTTGAATATTCAAATGGGTCACTAAAAAAGCTCTAAGAAACACAAATCAGAATCCTTGCCCCAATCAGGTGGAAGCAGAATATACTCAGGAATTTTGATAACTTGGGTAAGTAAATTAAATTTAAATATATATACATATATATATACATAAAAGAACATATATATATACATGTCTGTGTGTATATAGATATGTGCATATAGAAAAGAAAGAAAAACTAAGAAGGAAGAAGAAAGAAAGAAAAGAAGGAAAGAAGGAAAAGAAAGGAAGAGAAAGAAACAAATACACACACATACCCTCAGTTGAGGTCAAGACAAACAGGACACTACCCCCTTGGTGGAAAGACAAAGACGCACTAGCTTGAGGCGATGGCTGCCACAGCTGAGAAGCAGAGCACGGGCCAAAGAACCATACATGATGTCAGCACCCACTAAATCTGGTGCCCTGGGCCAGTGTGCTTGTTGCTTCAGCTTTGTTAAGTCTCCAGGAGCTGACAGTGGGAATCAAGGAAGGCTTAATTTTTAACTTCAAGGTTAGAGACTGGGAGAATTTTTATAAAGGAAAAAAAAAACCAACAAGAAAACTGAAATTTTTATCACTCCTCATTTAAAGTCTGGTCATTTCTCCATTGCTAATCTTGAGATTTCTGAGACTAGTAATAATGTTGCTATTAAATCTTCTTGATTCTGATTAGCATGCAAATTGTTGCCTGGTGTCTCACTTGAATCCCATGTGTTCTGAAGCTCTATTGTACCACTCAGAAAATGGAGCTGATAAATAAATGGGTGGGGAGGATGCTTCGTTCTCCCCACTTCTTTCGCCAGGGCCATTGTTTCAGCCTCTTTCTCCATCAATAGCGAATGATATTATCTACAACATTCCTGGGACCCTCTTCCCCCAAATCTGCACAGTTTTGTGTGACTTCCTCTAAATACAGAAACTGTCTCTAAAAATGTATGATGGTCACAAGCTCATGACTCCAGAGCTGGGAGGGACCTTAAAGGTCATTTTCCTGAGTTCAGTCTCCCAGTGAGGAAAGGAATACGACCTGAGTGAGAGCAGAGGCAGTATGGTGTAGGCCACTGGGAAGATAATAACCTGAGTTCTCAGGGATTAGATTACATTAGCCGGTTCACCTTTCCACAACTAAATCCCATTGATCCAATCTCTGAAAAATTTCTTTCTTCTGTCCTTTCCTCTCTCTTTTCACTGCCGTTACCCTCAAATAACTCTCCGTTCTTACCCATCTGAACTACAGGACTGGTCTTTTGGCTCTCTGATACATTTTTCAGGACACTAGCGTTCTTGTGCGTGAATCTGATCGTCTTACTCCTCTGCTCCAAAGCCTTAGATGGCTCCCTATTGCCAACCAAATAAAACCCCCCAAATTAGCCTACTATTTAAGGCACTCCATACCTTAGAGCCTCCCTTGAACATCACCGAAGGTGACTTTGACCGAGTCACCCAAACTCTGGGCTTTATCTCTTAACTACAAAAAGCCTTTTCAGCTCTGGATTGGCAGGTACCTCACCTGCACCAGAGGGAATAGAGTAAGAAAAGGCATGGAGTCAGCTTCATCTGTAAAATGGGAATAATAATAGTACCTCCCTCCCAGGTTGTTGTAAAGACAAAAGAGATAATATATGCAAAGTACTATATCAGTACTAGTTATTAATGTTGTTATATGATGGGGAAAGAAGGAAGAAAACGAGAGTTGGTTAAGCACCTACTATGTGCCAGGTACTGTCCTAAGCACTTTACAGACCTCATCTCGTTAGATCCTAACTACAACTTTGGCAGGGGCGGGGGGTGGGGGACAGGTGCTATTATTTTTCCCTCACTTTATATTTCAAGAAACTGAAGCTGAAGAAGCTAAGCAACTTGGGGAATCATTTTAAAATACAACTTTAAGGTAAGTTGTAATTTTTCCATGAATGGCATGCTAAGGGGATCATATTTTTTTTTCTTATTAGATCCTAGGGAATGTTACCAAGGGTGTAACCTCACTGGGCCTGTGCTTCAGAATATGACTTAGACAGAGTTTCATAAGGTCCTAGGCTGCAGAGGCCATCTAGCCTAACCCATTCATTATTATACGTGGGGAAACTGAGACCTGGGACTGATAGGATCATAGAGCTGGTGCTACAAAGGAGCCCAGAGAACGTCTAATCCAACTCATTCCTCATTTTATACAGACTCAGGAAACAGAAGCCCAAGGAGAAGGGGCTCATTAAAAGTCACGCAGGTAACATGCCATCCAAGGTACCATCGACGCCGAGGCCGTCTGCATGCAGAGCACTTTCAGAGACTAGTTGGACTATTCATTGGAGTGATAGCGGCAGTGCGGTTCTCCTTTCCACAT